ACACTTTAACGATACCAAAAGGACACTTCTTCCCAAAGATAGTTTTTTCCCCCCCTCCCCTCCCTACTAAATGGTATTGAGGCCAAGATGGGGCGGGGGGGGGAACCTACAATGAATTAGGGGGTAGCACTTCCCCTTTTCCTTACATGCTACAGCAGACCAGGAAAAACTTTAGTGGCTATGTATTTAGTTCAATATGAAGACTTACCCTTTTTTTTTCTTGGGGGTGGTTCGGGTGGGTTAACCTTTAATATATTAGCATCTTATCCAGGGCAAGAAGTAGAAATTTTCTTAGTCAAGGAATGCTACAGAAACATGGATTTTTTTTCAGCGAGATACGCAGTCAGGCTCGTATGTAGGCTCGACGACATATATGTCACGGTTTTTTTTTATTTTTAAGTCCTTTATTGGAGTTTGTGCCAGTAATACGGTTTTTGTCTCCCGTCAGGTTGGCATGTATGATGGTACGATTGCTATCTACAATGTGAGAAGTCGGAGTGATACACCGGCTCTTGACAGTTTGTAAGAATTATATCTTTTGTGAATGTATAGAACGTCCTTCCCTCCTCTTCTTAAAAGGAGAAACGAGAAATACGAGATCCATGCTATTCTTATATTGATGAATATTACGAAGTGCAATTCGTTATCTCAAATGCGGTGATCTTGCACGTTAAAAAAAAAACAGACAGAAAAACCCAAAACTAGGGTCTTCGAGCAGAAGTTCACCGTGAGAGTGTCCTGAATAGAGGACTAAGTCAAATTTCAGGGCAAGTACTTGCAACTGACTGTTTGCGCTGAAAGATGCGTGCGACTTAATCAAGATATTTTCCTGGTAATATCATACTGGTCTCTTAGTTGGCGCGGAACTCTTAAATAATAACGGAGAAAACTAGAAATTTTCAGACAGACAGCGGAGTCTTCTTCCCTTCAGCCTGTCATTCGACTGTCGTAATTATTTACTGACTTCTTACATCTATGGTGAAGTTACGAACAGTTTTTGTTTGTTGTTGTTGTTTTTTTGGAAAGTGAGAGCCAAGGTAAACATTCGTCACCAGTGTGGCAGGTTCGCTGGGTGGATAGAGACCAGGGGTCTGGTGAGGAGAGAGACGAAATTCTGATCTCCATCTCAGCAGATGGCCGGGTTACCAAGTGGTCCATAAGAAAAGGATTTGAATGCACAGGTGAAGATTCAGTTAACTTTTTCGACTCCTAAAACATGACGTTTCGTTGACGTCATATCACCATTATCAAACGTGAACACTGATCGACTGAAAAAAGATGTTGCTTTTTTTCTTTTTGCTTTTTAAACAGATTTAATGAAATTGAAACGGATAAATGTCACTGAAAAGTCCAAACAAGGAGGCGGAAAGAAGAGCGATGCTTTGATATCGAGGTTTTCCGCTGGGTTCTGTTTTGATGTTCACCCTAACGACTCCAACATGTAAGTGCATTTATTTACATTGACAATTTCTGTTGCTGCGCTATCGGTTATATTTCCCTTTTCTTGTGTTCATGTCCAACGGGATCATGATTTTGGGACAATTTATTTAAAGGGGGATTCTTCTTTGGACCCGTTCGTCGGGAGGGGTTACGAGATACTAAAATCCCAAATCTTCAATTTATCAGCAGTCATTTGGAATTATGCGTTAGGAATTGCTTGTAAACATTTGCCTGAAAACAAGCTATTGGTAGTTTTAGAGTGGGACGTTTATGATTGATATTTTTATGAACGGAGTAACTTTTTGATAAAAAAAAATTGTCTGTTCCTCTACAGAGTAAGTTAACAGTTGAACTTGAAGTATATATTGACTTGATTGGTTTATTTTTTGTTCCAGGTATCTTGCCGGTACAGAAGAGGGCCACATTCACAAATGCTCTTGTTCTTATAACGAGCAATATCTGGAAAGTTATCATGGACACACGGTACGTAACAGATAGTAGAAATATTAATTAGTTAAATAACAGTAGTTGAAGTGTTAAATTTGTAAACAATATTCCAAACGATACCCTCTGAAGCAATGTATACAGGAAATTTCCAAAGAGTATCGAACGATATCCAAAACTGCATCGGTTTTTGCTTTACTTCGCTCTGTTGTTGATCTAGAAAATCCTTTCCAATCTCTCAACCAATCAGAAACGAAATTAAAACCAATCGTCTCTTGGCAAACTGCTTTTCTTTCCTTTTAGGTGTAATTGATTTAGGACGCGGCGTGACCAAGTGGTTTGGGCGCTGGATTTGTAATTTGGTGGTCCCGGGTTCAAGTCCTTCTCCCTGCCATTTACTGGATTTGTTCTCGGTCGCCCCGAGTTCAACTCCTCGGCTGCGCTGTGTAAATAGCCAACTGGTCTGCCTCTTGGCAGTTGAGATTTTCGAGCACTCTGTGTTTATTTAAAATATTTATTTCTCTCTCTTACATACTGTAAAGCGCCATTAAATAGCGATTGAAATAGCGCTATACAAATAAAGTATTGTTATTAAGTGTTATTCTCTGCTATGTTTTCCTTTGACCTAACTGGTTGTTGTGACACTCAGTCGGAGAGCACTGTAGTTAGCGATTACATTACGGGTTCGAGATTTTTTTAGACTGTATCAAATCTAGAGCGACTAGTCTAATTGCTTTGATATAAATCTACTAACTTAGTGATGAAGCATCTGTCGAAATATGTTCCATCACTCACATTTATACTTTGCTAATAAAGCTGAGATATAATTAGCTGACAGTGTGGTTTTCATACAGGGTCCAGTATACTGCATGCAGTGGTCTCCGTTCTTGTCTGACGCCTTCCTAAGTTGCAGTGCCGATTGGAGCATTAGGCTGTGGCATCAGGATAAACGTCAGCCTATCATGTCATTCTTCTCGTCCACTGTAAGTAACACATACAGGTTCATTGTGCTGATGGTAGTAGATACAAGTTGAGCTTGAGTTCGTGTTCTCACGACTGATTAATGAGATCGCACTCCTCGATTTGGAACCCCCGACTAGTATATCGGAATTTTCCTTTAATTACTCAGACTACGCTCTCGACATTGCAATTTATAATGGTAAGAGGACCGAGTGGAGTCCATTTCGGTCCGTAAGCATACGAGTGATTAACAAAATCGGACGACCGCAAAGCAGGAGTCCGATTTGTAAATTACGAGTATGATTATAGACAGAATTAGACGACACAAGGTCCTGTTACAAATAATTCAAAACTTTGACAAAAGTAAAGGGACTCATTACCTTTCGGTTAAAATTTTTCATAAGCTAAGAAATATTAGTTTAATTTTTTTCCACATAAAATAAACCCCATTAGTCTATATAACAACGTGCGCAGAAGGCGCATTCTATTTAATGGCAGGGTACCGCCCTATAAATGTTCAAATTTGGCTTCTGATAATCAGTCAGGTTTGAGAATTTTGGTAAATTTTTTTTGTTTGTTTCTTTGCAGAAATCAGTAAATGACATCTGTTGGTCACCTTCATCAGCTACTCTGTTCGCATGCGTGAATGATAAGGCCGTAGAGATCTGGGATTTAAGCCTTAACACGTAAGCAACTATTACAGTGGAGATATATCTAGTTATACTATAAATTGAGTGACACACGCTCTGTAATTGGTCGTTGCTCCTGATGTAAATGTTACAAATTGCAAGCAGCGTCAAAGGGTGCTAGGCGCAGACGAATTCCTATTAATGTGCAGAAAAATATGCAATTTGTGCCAAGTGCAGGAAAACAACAACTATTGCCAAGAGCGGGAAAACAAGCAGCAATTATCAAGCGCGGGAAAACAAGCAACGATTGCCAAGTGCGGGAAAATAAGCAACGATTACCAAGCGCGGGAAAACAAGCAACGATTGCCAAGCGCGGGAA